AACCCCTTGAGTTCATCTTTGTTATAACACAGTTGCCCAAGTGGAAGTCACACCTTCATCCACCAAGAAAACAAGGACATGGAACCCAGAAGCTGGCCGAAGCTGACCATTTGAATATGGGCTGGCTAAACTCATAGAGAAGTTTCCTTATCCTGGTCAGAGACCTCTGCCAGCCAGAGAACTATCCTTCACACTCCCTTTACTTCGTTAGGCATTTTCCAATCAGAAGGAAGGACCCATGTTTCGGAAATTCTGATCAGAGTCTTTGGGTGGTGACAGATGAAAGTGCGCCTTCACGCCTGCCAATGCCCATCCAACAGTGCTAAGCCCCTGCTTGGGGAGAGGGCTTGAGTTTGAACCATACTGTGAATGCATTGAAAACCATGAAAAAAGTCTTCTCGAAGACTTAATTGGCTTGGCCAATGAGATTGAATCATTGGCAAAATCACTTTTATGAAGCATTGTCCAGAGACTGAGGCTAGGGCATAAAGATCTACACAAACCCCAGTCTCCTCCTAAGTAATGACAAGCATTTTCAGTGTCTGATGAAACAAAATCAAATTCCATCTCTCAGGAGATGGGAAGGGAGCTATATGACCTACGCTGCACTCTAGAACCCCACCTGATATACTGAACAGGAGTGGAGGGGAAATTATGGAAGAGCTGGAAAAACTTCCATGGATGCTCTTGGGGATACTTATAGTGGGACTGAGGATATCCGGCTCCCACAGCTCTCTAGGGAGCTGGTTCCATATTGGGGTCCTACAGCCTCTTCCCTGGAGTGGATTGGTTTCTTCTCCACTTCCCTTGCTTTCACCTGGGAGCCAATGAGTTTCCACAGTGTGGAATGGAGCTAGGGTTTCCCAGGCCTGAGACACAGTCCAGAAATCAACAAGACTAAATTGAGAATTTCCTAAGCCTCTGCACTCAGGGTTCTTCCAGCTCAGCTGGTTCCACAGAGCAGCCTTCAGAGCCATTCAAATATGCATCATGTCCTTGCTGCTCTCCTGTGGATTTGTTGCCCTTTCCCACACTACAGGCAGAGAAAATAAAATCTGTATCTTTAGCTTCTCTCCTTCTTAATTTATCTAGATTCTCACTCCAAATTTGAATATAAGTTACCTAAAATTGTTCTTAAGGTTTTTAAAGGTATGTATCAACAGAATCACTCTGTCATTCTCCCAACTAAACAGTTTGGATGGAACCCTCTGCCTGAGTTTATCATTTGGGCAATATTTGCCTGTCTGAGAACAGTAATAACTCCAGCCCTCTTCTTGTACTTATGCCAAGACATGCTGCATTTAAGAGGCACTGAAATTCCTCATGGCATTTTCTTCCTAATGTTTTAAATATTTGCTTATTTTTTCCCACAGGAAACTTGACAGTTAATATGCATTCCTAAAACCATGCTTGTTGGTTTCCTCCCCTTCTCTGCCCACTCCCCGCAGTACTTCCCTCTTCAGCAAATCCTTGGGCAGCTCACTGTGGACGGTTCTTAGTTTGACTGCTCATAGCAATGGGAGACATTTTCCTTTGCACTGCATGGTTTGATCAATGGCAGTTAGTTTTCTCATTTGCTCAGTAAACCTTAGCCACTGCCTTGTTTAGCACTCTTCTTCACACATAGGAAGCATCTTCAAAAGCCAATCAAACTCCATTATTTGTTAATCTTCCCTAAGTTCAGGCTCATGTTTTTCTCTTGATGACAACTCCACAGGCTCCGTGTGGGGCTGGCCATGTGATGTAAGACCCACCACCCTCTCAAAGCCAACAACTGCTTGCCAGATTTTGTTTCCCAGTTTTACATGAAACATCACAATGAAAGGAAATAGAGATTCAATGAAGACAAATTAGAAGAAACAGCTAACACCTACAGAAAAAAAATTCCAGGTCGCACACTCCAAGGGATCATTTTACAGCCTTTATTCTTTATTTGGGAAAAAATGAGCAGACTAGTCAAAAAATATAACCAATTAATTTATATCTGCCCTGCCAGCCATTAAAATAAGCCAGTGAAACATGTCTCTGCTGAAATTCTTAGCTTTACATTTTCATCACAGGCAGTCTTCAAGCCATAGAACAGTATCAAATATCTGCAGAGCAGATACTCAGTACAGCAACAGGGAAGCCCTTTGTCACAAAAGGCCAAAGGCTGGGTGCCATTCTTGAATCTCAGAAAGATCTGTTACCCACTTTTGTGGTAGACACAGGCGCTTGACACACTGGAACTAGATTAAGATATTGTAATCAGTAACTGTTCCCTATAATTAGCTATGTTTCCATTTAAGATCAGAGTGGAGCTCTGAATGAGAAGGTAGTAGATTTAAGTGTTTCAGAAGCACTTTTCATGGCTGGATCGAAATTGAGATTCAGCTGAATGCCATGAGTACTTAGGGGAAATCTGCTCTGCATGTGCCACTGTGTTTAACACGGCCATCTTATTATACGACTCCAGGTGGAGGCTTTCATGACTTAGTCCCTAAGAATGGTCTCCCTAGAATTCCTGCAGTCATATATGATGCCCACCATGTTAGATACCATGGGCCTTTCAAAGTCTGAGGAGGACTCTCCCTGCCTTCAAAGAGCTTATAGGCTGCAGGGAGGAAAAGATTGCTAAGGAGCAACTACTACACACGCAGAACAAGCTTAGTAGCAAAATGCAAGTGAATAACTAAAATCGAACTCTGAATTAACTCCAAATGTAAAGAATAGGCAAAGGAAGAGGATGGTGGGGAGAAAAAGAGCTGGGATTGTCTTGTGGGAGGCTCCAGTATTTGGTTTTCAATTGCTAAGTCATCAAGAATTATGCTTTTGGAAGATAAAACTGATAACAAGAAACAATGGCACAATTTTCAGGAGTCTGGAAGACAAGTAGAAAGACACTGCAAATAGTCTAGATAAACGATAAGGGGCCTGAGCTAGTGTGATAACAGTTAAAATGGAAGAAAGGTGATGGACTTGGAAGATGCTTTGACATTTATAAAAATTCATTTACATTAATCATAAAGTTATAGGTGAGAAAATTTGTAAAAACACAAGGTGCTGATTAATCCCAATTTAAAAAATAAGAAACAATAGGGTTAAATATATTAGGTTGAACAATATTAAATTGTCCTTTTTGTAGGTAACAAAATAGTTGACTATTGATAATTTCACAAAATTTATATTTGCCTTATAATAATTGTCCTTAAATATACAACTGTACAAAAAGCATAGCCCCAAACTTAATAACTTTAAAAGAAATAAGAATTAACCGTGAACAGAAGAGAGCCAGAAATCATTTATTTGGCAGTGAAACAGGTAAGAGCATGTTTTGAAGAACAGACACAGTTCTTAAAGGATATTGCCCACCGGAGACTCTCTGGTGGCTTTCTGCGTAAGAAGAAGTTTCAGACAAAAGTGGTTAGAAAGCCCCGTACGGTTCTGGAATAAAAAAGGGCATTGTAATTTACTACCATTTATAACCTCTTATATACCTCCCTCTGGGGGCTTTCTTAAGAAAGATTTGAGCCAAAGTCATTGGCAAGCATTAAAAGCATCTCTAGTGAAATTTTCCAAGTCCATCACACTCCCTTCACCATAATAGAAACTAAAGGCAAAGTCTAGGAATAAATAGAGAAAGCGTAACTGTGTTATGCTAAACTTAGGCAAACTTTCCATTACATGAAGATGTTGTTAAGTCACCTCATAAATGTTAATGATTACCTGAGGGTGAACGCTGTGAACCCCAGCCAGAATGATGCAGGTTACAGAACCTTCATAATTTTTACCTCCAAATTCTGGGCCACATGAATCTGCCTCTGGGCCTTTCTTCCTGCTGACCCCCTTTCCTAGAAAGCTCCCTCCCCTCCCTACTTCTTTGCCTCCCAAGGAATGACAAATCATCCTTCAAGTCCTGACTCCCAGTTCACTCCAGAGGAACCAAGTCCTCTTCTGCAAACACTCAGTTCATGCCTTTGTTTTCACTGATTTGAGTTTGATGTCTATCAGTCTAATTGTGGTTTTCACTCAGATTTGATCAAGAAAGGTAAGAACAAAAATGTGTTGAGCGGTTAAAAAAAGAAAGGGAAAATAAATTTCAGGTTGTGTGCTGATAATATGCTGCATTTGTGTCAGTAAAATGTCAAAAAATGCATTGCAAAAGAATGCAAATATTTTCATTTATGCATAAAAGTATCCATGAATTATGTATGACAGAAATGTGTTTGCATAGGCATAGAAAACATTTGAGGGATACTCATCCACTTCCCCTGAGATATTGGGAAGATTAGCTACTTTTACAATATTATTTAATCATTTCTTCATTGCTCAGTTTTATTTTTAAAAGAATACTTTTATTAAAATAAATAGATATACCCCTCCCACATTGGGTCCTGGAGAACTGTGGTTCATTCAAGATTAGTATCAAAGGGGATATGTACCAAAGCCCACAACACCGACTCCCACACGAGACCTGTCTTCAACATGTTCCTTAGTAATTTCCATTAGAAAGTGTTTGTCTCCATCTCAAATAAAAAAAACACGAGTTTGTCATACTACAACTTGACCTTTCCAAAGCCAAACACAGCCAGGTTAACTAACTCCAGAAGCTACACTCCACAGCCTCCTGCAGTAATAATTTGGGGTGAATGAGGCAACCTTTTGCTTCCTTTTTAGAGTAGCAAAAAGGATTGTTGCCCAAGAAAAACACAGAACTGGTAAAAATTGTACAGTAGCTCCCCCATCCACAGAAGATATGTTCCTAGATCCCCAGTGGATGCCCGAAAGCATGGGTAGTGCAGAGAACCCTGTGTACAGTATGTTTTTCCTATACATACATATATATGGTAAAGTTTAATTTACAAACTAGGCACAAAAAGAGATTAATAGTAATAACTAATAATAAAATAGAACAATTATAACAAACACCAGCATCCCTACTCTTGTGCTTTGGGGCCATTATGAAGACATATAAAGATGACTTGAACACAAGCACTATGACACTAGGACAATCAATCTGATCATTGAAATGGGGCTTCTAAGAGGATGGTAGTATAAACAGTGTAGAGATGCTGGACAAAGGGAGGATTCATGTCCTGGGTGGCATGGAGTGGGACTGAGAGATTTCATTGTGATCCTTAGAATGGTGCACTGTTTAAAACAGGGTTCTCCAACCCTGTTAGGAACCAGGCTGCACAGCAGGAGGTGAGCAGAGGGTGAGTGAACGAATCTTCATCTGTATTTACAGCTGCTCCCCATCATGCACATGACCTCCCGAGCTCTGTCTCCTGTCAGATCAGCAGCGGCATTAGAGTCTCATAGGTATGTGAACCCTATTTTGAGCTGTGTGGACCAGGGATCCAGGTTGGGTGCTCCTTATGAGCATCTAATGTCTGGTGATCTGTCACTGCCTCCCATCACCCCCAGATGGGACCATCTAGTTGCAGGAAAACAAGCTCAGGGCTACCCTAATTTTACATTATGGTGAGTTGTATAATTATTTCAGTATATATTGCAACATAATAATAATAGAAATAAAGTACAAAATAAGTGTAATGTGCTTGAATCATCCCAAAACCATCCCCAACCCTGGTTCATGCAAAAACTGTCTTCCACAAAACCTGTTCCTGGTGCCAAAAAGGTTGAGGATCACTGATTTAAAACATAAACTGTTTATTTCTGGAAATTTTCATCTAATGTTTTCAGACCACAAACATTTGAGTCATGAATCCATCTTGTAAATGTCACCATTTTTGTAAATGGTGAAAGGTAGGGGTCCAGTTTAATTCTTCTGTATATGGCTAGTCAGTTACCTTGACTGAAGGCAACTGTAATATTTGACATCATTGTATGAAGCAGAAAGTAGCCACTGCCCAGCATAGAATGTTTCTTTCAGCCACATAAACTCTTGGGCCTCAGCTTCCCACCATCTCCTCTCCACTCTTACTTCTCCAACGTCTTCTCTTCCATTTTCTAGCTACCGATCTTCAACCCTCAACTTCTTATTCCTTTACTATGCTAAACCTTCTATCGTCTCAAAGTAGCTTTTAGATTCACCTTTACTATTCAAAAATGTCAAAACTCATATTAAGGGGAGCCTGCTTAGCAAAGGATCCTCTATCCTTGTCTCTTTCTGTAGCAACCAACAAATAATTTGGTGAGCCAGCATCACATTCTTAGGCAAGGCTTCTAATCAGACCAATCAGAGCCCACTGGAGATTCTATCACCAGAGTCAAGGTTAGAAAATGAGAGCTTGGCTATATCATATACATAGCTTGGTTATATACACCTGACGTTCTGACCGATAGGACTTCCACATTGCGAGGGAAACAAAGTAGAAGGAAGGTCCTCCTAGAACAACAATGAACGTTCATCAAGCACTTTCTATGGGCTAGCCACTGGACTAAGGCATCTTATAAGTAGCATCTCACTTATTCTTAACATCTCTGTGAGACTGTAATGGAACAATTTATACCTGGCTAGGCTTGGTGGCTCACACCTGTGATCCTAGCACTACAGGTGGCCAAGGTGGAAAGATCACTTGAGGCCAGAAGTTCAAGACTGACCTGGGCAGTCATAATGAGAACCCCGTCTCTACAAAAAAAAAAATACAAACATAATGAGAACCTCATCTCTACAAAAAAAAATAAAAGGATTAGCCAGGTGGTGCTGTTGCTGGCCTGTAGTCCTAGCTACTTGGGAGGCTGAGGCAGGAGGACCACTTCTGCCTAGGAGTTTGAGGCTGCAGTGAGTTATAATTTCATCACTGCACTCTAGCCTGGGTGACAGAGACACTATCGCTAACAAAAAAAAAAAAAAAGAAAGAAAGAAAAAAATTGTCCCAAATATGGTCTGTGTGATGTAATTATAACTTTCTTCAGAAAAGAAATTAGACTTTTACTGATAATATATTTAAGCAGTTTTCTAATGACCTTTAAATGGGATTAACACTTGCTCTGGGAAATTATCACTATTTCACAGATGATAAATTAGTGTAAGATTCTAGTGATATTTTCTTTTTTAAAATGTAATTTCAACTTTTATATTCAAGGGACACATGAGCAGATGTTACACAGGTATACTGCATGATGCTAAAATTGATCTCATCACGCAGGTGGTAAGCACAGGACCTAATCATTAGTTTTTTAACCCTTGCCCTCCTCTCTTCCTCCTCTAGGAGCCCCGTTATCTATTATTGCCATCTTTATGTCCAGGCCTCCCACAGTGTTGGGATTACAGGCATAAGCCACCATGCCCAGCCAGCCACCACGCCCAGCCTTTTTAATAATTGTCATTTTGACTGGTATGACTTGGTATCTTATTGTGGTTTCAATTTGCATTTCTCTGATGATCAGTGATGTTGAAAATTTTATTATATGTTGATTGGCCGCTTGCGTGTCCTCTTTTGAGAAATGTCTGCTCATGTCTTTTGTCCACTTTTTAATGAGAGTTATTTGGTTTTTGCTTGTTGAATTGATGGAGTTTCTTATAGATTCTAGATGGTAGACCTTTGTTGAATGCATAGTTTGTAAACATTTTCTCCTATTCTATAGGTTGCATGTATTCTGTTGACTTTTTTGCTATGTGGAGGCTCTTTAATTAGATCCCATTTGTCAATTTTTTGTTTTGTTGCAATTGCTTTTAAGGACTCAGTCATAAATTTCCCAAGGCCAGTGTCTGAAAGAGTGTTTTCTTCTAGGATTCTTATAGTTTTAGGTCATACATTTGAGTCATTCATCCATCTTCAGTTAATTTTTGCACATGGTAAAAGGTAGGGGTCTAGTTTAATTCTTCTGCATATGGCTAGTCAGCTATCCCAGCTCATTTATTGAATATGAAGTCCTTTCCCCATTGCTTAGTTTTGTCTACGCTGTCAAATATCACGTGGCTGTAGGTGTGTGCCTTTGTTTCTTGGTTCTCTATTCTGTTCCATTGGTCTGTGTGTCTGTTTTTGTGCCCATACCATGCTGTTTTGGTTACTGCAGCCATTAGGTATAGTTTGAAGTCAAGTAATGTGATGCATCTGGTGGTGTTCTTTTTGCGTAGGATTGCTTTGACTACTCAGGCTCTTTTTTTGGTTCCACGTGAATTTTAGAATAGTTTTCTTTTTCTAATTCTTTGAAAAATAGCATTGATATTTTGATAGGAAAAACACTGAATTTGTAGATTGCTTTGGGCAGTATGGCCATCTTAATATTGTTTCTTCCAATCCAGAAAAATAGCATTGATATTTTGATAGGAAAAACACTGAATTTGTAGATTGCTTTGGGCAGTATGGCCATCTTAATATTGTTTCTTCCAATCCATCAGCATGTCATGTTTTTCCATTTGCTTGTGCCATCTATGATTCCTTTCAGCAGGGTTTTGGAATCATACTTGTGGAGATCTTTTACCTCTTTGGTTAGATGTATTCCTAGATATTTTATCTTTTGTGGCTGTTGTGAATGGGATTGTTTTTGACTTGGCTCTTAGCTTGAATGTTATTGGTGTCTAGAAATGCCGCTGATTTTATATCCTGAAACATGACTGAAATCGTTGATCACTTTCAGGGGTCTTTTTGGTTTTCTAGGTATAGACTTTTATCATTGGTGACAACAGGTGATTTAACTCCTTCCTTTCCTGTTTGGATGCCTTTTCTTTCTATTGCCTGACTTCTCTGGCTAGGATTTCTAGCACTATGTTGAGTAGTAGTAGTAAGAGTGGGCATCCTTGTCTTGTTGCAGTTCTTAAAAGAAATGCTTCCAGCTTTTGCCCATTCAATATGATGTTGAACGTGGGTTATTCACAGACACCTCTTATAATTTTGGGGTATATTTCTATAATGTCTGGTTTGTTGAGGCTTGTCAGGAAGGGATGTTGGATTTTATCAAAAGCTTTTTCTGCATCTAGAGATGATATATGGGTTTGTTTTTAATTCTATTTATGGAGTAAATCACATTTATTGATTTTCTTATGTTGAACCAAGCTTGCTTACTAGGAATGAAGCCTATTTAATCATGGTGAATTAACTTTTTGATGTGCTGGTGGTTTGCCAGTATTTTGTTGAGGATTGTTTTGGTCTATGTTCATCAGAAATATTGGTTTGTAGTTTTCTTTTTTTCATAGTGTCTTTGCTGGATTTTAGTATCAGGGTGATACTGTCTGCATAGCCTGAGTTAGGGAGGAGTTCCTTCTCCTCAATTTTTTGGAATTATTTCAGTAGCACTGGTACCATCTCTTCTTTGCACTTCTGGTAAATTTGGCTGTGAATTCATTATATCCACAAGGTTTTTTAATTGATAGGTTTTTAATGCTAGTTCAATTTCAGAACTCAATATTGATCTATTCGGAGTTTCAATTTCTTCCTGATTTCGTCTTGGGAGGTTGTGTGTTTCCAGGAATGTATCCATATCCATTTCCTCTAGATTTTCTAGTTTGTGTGCATAGAGGTTTTTATAATAGTCTGTAAGGATCTTTTGTATTTCTATGGGATTGGTTGTAATGTCACCTTTGTCATTTCTGATGGTGCTTCTTTGGATCTTCTCTCTTTTTTTCTTTATTAATCTAGCTAGCATACTATCAATCTTACCCTTTCAGAGAACCAACTTTTGGTTCCATTGACTCTTTGTATAAATTTTGGGGTCTCAATTTCATTTACTTCTGCTCTGATTTTAGTTACTTATTTTCTTCTAACTTGGGGCTAGTCTGTTCTTTTTCCAGTTTCTTTAGATGTGATATCAGATCATGAATTTGAGATCCTTCTTTCTGAGGAAGGCATTTAGTGCTATAAACTTTCCTTTTACACTGCTTTTGCTGCATCTCACAGATTTTGATATTTTGTGTCTCTGTTTTCATTACTTCAAAGAATTTTGTGATTTCTGCCTTAATTTTGTTCTTTATCAAAAAGAGCAAGGACCAAGCTGTTGAATATTTATATAATTGTGTGGTTTGGTAAAGCTTTCAATTGTATTTTGAAATTTCTTAGGTGAGTTTTTCAGTTCGAGAGGCTCTGATTCATTTCTTTTTAAGATATTTATCTCTTCCTTCATTTCTTGGATTGCTTTAGAAGTTTCTTTGCATTGATTTTCAACCTTGTCTTGGATCTCATTAAGCTTCCTTGCAATTCATGCTTTGAATTCTTCATATGCCATTTCTGAGTTTCCATTTTGGTTAGGAACCAGTGCTGTAGAGCTAGTGTAATTTTTTGTGGTATCACTACACTCAGATTTTTTGTGGTGCAAGAACTCTTACACAGGTTCCTTCTCATCTGGAGACACTGGTACTTTTAATTGTTATAATTATTTTTGTACAGTTTAGATTTTTTTCTTTTTTTCTTTATAAT